CTAGAAATGCTAGGTATCGTTGTAAAACAAGAAAGAGAAATTGAAGGAATAAGCACAGACAACAAGGAAAGAAAACTATGAAGTTTTACAGATGTCGTGGTTTACCTAAAGAACACTAGGGAATTAACAAAAATTAATTGAAACAATCAATTCTGCTGTTTTGCAGGATATCAAATACATTTTCATGTTTCATCAGCATTTCTATTGCCAACAAAACACAGAAGAAAGAGCTAGAAAGAAACATCAAATGTGACATCAAAAACAAATTAGAGGAGCAAGGAAGATGTTATCTCTAGAATAGATTGATAGGTGAATAGTTTGTGACCAAACAAGTGACAGAGAGAATAACAGAAGAAAAATTTGGACAATTTTTATTCCAAAATTTTAAAGTCTTCTCATTTGCAAAATCAACATTATTAAAATTAAAAGGAAAAGAGGAAACTGGAAAAGAATATGCTGCAAGTTTCTACAATAAAGTCTTACTCCTAAGATATATGTGGAACTGATTCCAATTATAAGAGCAAAAACAATTTCCCAATAGATAAATGGTCAAAGCATATGAACATTTTTCAAAGGAAGAAATTTGAGCTACCAATGATCATATTTTAAAAAAACCTCTCCAAATCACTAATAAAGAAATGTAAATAAAAGTGACTCTGAGGTTCCACTTCTGACTTAGCATATTAGAAAGATGACAAAAGTGAAAAATGATAATTGTTGGAGGGGATATGGGAGGATGGGCACAAATACAATGATGGTGAAGCTTTGCATTGATCCTGTCATTTTGGAAAGCTATTTCAAACTGTGCCCCCCAAAGCCACTGAACTGTGCATACTCTTTGATCATCAAAACTACGACTAGGCTTATTATACCCAAGGAAATCAAAGAAAGAGGAAAAGGACCCATATATGCAAAAACAGTTAGCCTTCTTTTTATAACAGCAAAAACTGGAAACTAAAGAGATAACCATTTATTTGAGAATAGCTAAACAAATTATGGAATATGAATGTAATAAAATATTGCTAGACCATAAAAGATGATGAAATGGATGGTTTCAGAGAAACCTGGGAAGATTTGCATAAACCAATGCCCAGTGAAGTGAGCAGAACCAGTAGAATAATTTACATAGTAACAACAATACAAAGAAAATCAACTTTGACAGACTTAAGAACTCTGATTAATGCAATGATAAACTAAGATTCCAGAGAACTGATAATGAGGTATACTGCTAACCTGTTGATGGAGAGATGATTAAATTAAATAATTAAAAAATGCAGAATAAGACACATTTTTCAGTTACAGACAATACTGGATTGGTTTTTTTTTTTGTTTGTTTGTTTGTTTTTTGCTTAACTATTCTTAATTTTTACAGGACCGTTACCTCCTCTAATCGGTAGGGGATGCTGGTGAGATGGTAATAGATATAAGGGTAGAGTAACAAAACAAAACAAAACAAAAAACAAAGAAAGAAAGAAAAGAGAAAAAGAAAGGAAAGAGGTACAGACAAGCAAGACAGCTTTGAAAGCTGATTAACGGTAACTAGGAACTACCTTTAAGACATTTGGTGACTCAAGCAAGGAGACTAAATATATCTTGGAACAGCTTATCGTCCTCTATAAAAAAGAGCTGGTCAAATTTCCCCTCTTTGTCTCTGTCATAGTTTCTATATGTTTTTGAGTCTGTCCATCTGTCTGTCTCTGTCTTTGTTTCCCTCCTTCTCTCTGACTCTGTCTCATTGTCTCCCTTTTTCTCTTTCTCATTTCCAGACCACAACATAACATAGGAACTGTATTTCTAGGCAGGATTCCCTTGTGCTCCCACCACAAATGGCTAATGGAAGCTTGGGAGGGAAGCAAATAGTCTACGAGTCCTGGTGACCTAATAGGAGATGGCATTATGTAAGAAAAGTCACAAAATGGTTCATGCCCTTTGACCCAGTGAGCTCAGCACTGAGTTTATATTCCAAAGATGTAGACTGCTATAGAATATCCTTTGGAGAAGCTTACCTAGCCTTGTTGATACAGTAAATTGGTGTAAACTTCATATAAGTATAGATCAAGTTGATAACAAATATAAATCACTCTGTAGAGATTCTATTGAGTGAGAAAGTAGATATAAGAGTTGTTAGTTATTGGGAGCAGCAAGGTGGTGCCGTGGATAGAGCATCAGCTTTGGAGTCAGGAGAATCTGAGTTCAAATCTGGCCTCAGACACTTATTAACTGTGTGACCTTGGGCAAGTCACTTAACCCCCATTGTCTCCAAACCCCTCCTCCAAAAAACAGTTGTTAGTTGTTGATGGATATTTTGTCCATAAGTCACTTTTGGGTCATATTTTTTTTTCTAATCATTCAATATCTTCTTCTTTTTTAGGTATCTTGTAGTTTAATCTCCCAGTATCCTCAAAATTGTGTCATCTACACAGGAGCTTCCTTCAGTTATATTTGATCTGTGTTAGTGCCATTTCCAGTATAGGAATAATTTTTTTTATATTTTTACAACCTGATTATTTTACTATACTTTATGCAAATTCAGGGTTTTTTTTCTATTGCTCATTTTTTATGAGTCAATTCTGTCCCTGTTAATAATAATTATAACATATTGCTTCTTAAGGTTTGCAAAGTATATAATATAAATTTTCATTCCACTATCTTCCTCTTTAAGATTTTGAAAAGGAACATCACCTTTGATTTCCATGACTCTCTGCTTGGCAAGAAACTCAAATGCTTGCTGGCTGGGGTAGTATCTAAACTCTTTTGAACTCATACAGGTGATTGCTTTGAACTTCTATAACAAACGGTGTTAGTTCATGTCCATGACTTTTCTTTGTTCCATTTCCCATTTTTCAGTATCATTGACTTATTTGAATGAGCCAAATTGGAGCTATTTCAATTGGAAAGGGAAAAAGACCAAACACTTATTAAGTACCTACTATGTGCCAGGCACTATGTTTAGTGCTTTACTAATGTTATCTCATTTGATCCTCACAACAACCTTGGGAGGTATGTGCTATTATTATTCACATTTTACACTTAAGGAAACTGAGGCAGACAGAGGTTAATTAAACCTAGCATCAAACAGCTAGACAGTGTCTGAGGTTGTATTTGAACTCAGGTCTTCCAAACTCCAGGCCCAACACTCTATCCATGGCACCACCCATTTTCCATAACTTCTAGCATGTCATATCTTGTTATTTTTACCTTTCTAGATCAATGTTGATTTTTATCTTTAGTTAGATTGCACACAAATAGCTGATTAAGAAATGACTCTTACATCAGTAACCAGTTGTTTTTTGTCTGTTAAGGTTACATCCACTTTTTTTTGCAATGTTGTTTCATATTGAATTCCATACATGTTGACTTAAGTTTAGAAGATCTCTGAATTCTACAGAAAAATTTCTACATCTCTTCAATCTCTGAAACAGATATTGGCACATAAGATTCAATGATCTTTGTTGCAGTTTTTGTTTTTTTCTTTAACAAATAATAATAATTATATGGGAAAGTGGGGTGATGCAGTGGATAGAACACTGGGCTTGGAAACAGGAAGACTTGCCTTTATGAGTTCAAATCCATTCTCAGACACTTACCAGCTGTGTGACCTTGGTCAAGTCACTTAACCCTGTTTGCCTCAGTTTCCTCATCTGTAATAAGATCTGGAGAAGGAAATGGCAAACCACTCCAGTATATTTGCAAAAGAAAACCCCCAAATGGGGTCACAAAGAGTCAGACATGACTGAACAAGAACAATATAATTATGTTTCACCTTCACATTCCATCTAGCTGTCCATCCTGGCAATTTTGGTATGTTGCCATCTTGGTATATTTCCATGGGCTAACCACCCCTTAACCCAAAAAAAGACAATAACGATTTTCTACTCCATGCTCTGAGCACAATAGTTAAATAAATGGTACCATTAATTTTGGAAAGCTTCTGTCAATTGATTACTGTATGGATCAGCTCAACATCCTGGTAACTCCTTAGACCAAATCTCCTTTCTTTGCTACCACTCTCCTATATGTGTACTCTTCCCCAAATAGAATACAAACTGCCTCTCTTTTTTGTATATGTATCCTTACCACTTAGCATAGTGCCTGGCACATAGCAGGTGCTTAATAATTGCTTTCTTATTCATTAATTTATACATGCAAGCACACATACATGCATTTTTTTCATCATGAACACTATGAAAAGAGGAGAACAAATGTGCTTTGAAAAAATGTTTCTATTGCCTTTGGGTACATAATAAAGTCAACTCCACGATCTTCATCAACTTGATTTGTCTTTCCAAGACAACTTATGAACCTCCTGTTTACCATCCAACTCCCTTATTGTTGCGGTTTTAAAAGTGGAATATTGTCTTGGTCATACCTACCATAGGCATTGCTAAAGACATCAGGACACTAGAAGTAGATGCCTGCTAATTTTGGGCAGAGGTCTCCCAGATTCTTTTCCTGGATTCCCTGAGGATTTTGCCTTGACCTGAGAACTGTCAGGGAGCCTGATTTGACTAGCAAGAGAGCTTGAACTCATCCACCAGATTAATGAGAAATAAAAGCTTTAGATAGATGAGTGGTCAAAGGATATAAACAAATATTTTCTTTTTTTTAAAATAAAGGGATGGGGGCAGGTAGGTGGTGCAGTGGATAGAACACCAGCCCTGAAATCAGGAGAACCTGAGCTCAAATCCAACCTTAGACCAAACACTTGACACTTACTAGCTGTGTGACCCAGGGCAAGTCACTTAACCCCTATTGCCCCCCAAAAAAAAATTTTTTTTAAAAGACTTTAAAAAAAAGGGATGACAAATTGTACATAATAGATTTCCAGTTTCCTGTGCAATCATTTTTATTATACTCTATTATGGAAATGGTATTTTTATTCCATAAACTAATTTAAGTTTTACAAATAAAATAAATTAAATTAATTTTTTTAGTTAACCCTCTCTCCTCCCCAATTGAGGATGAAAGAAAAACAAAATCCCAGTTACGAACATATATGTATAGTCGAGCAAAACAAATTTGAACTCATATCCTCCCATTCAACTTATTCCCTTCTTCTGACTCTTCTTTCATTTCACTAAGAGCTGGGAAGAACCCCTCTTGTTACTTGTCTCTTCTATTGTCCTCCCCTCTGCTCTAAGGCTCTCAGAAATTGGAAAAATATGTCATCTTCTTGGTGCCTTGTCCCTTCCTCTGTACCAAAACCCTCATCCTTCTCTCCCCCATATACAGTAACTCTGCTTCACAGAGGGTCCTTGTTCTCACTTCCAAGGGTTCAAGTTTTTCACATGGGACTGATTAATCCTTAGGGGTGGTGGGGGTAGGGAAGGGGTAAGTAGGCCTGCTGAGTAAGAATCCCTCATATAGAGAAGGAAGACTGAGCAGCAGAGAGGGCCCACAAATTTGTGGTGGGTAAACGAGCCCATTAATATATGAATATGGAGAAATCAGCCCATAATGTATGAGACAATCAATCCCTTAATATATTAATATGTTGATTTTTCAATTATCCTCAAATCATTTCCTGCCTTGGTGTTCCCAGTGAAACTATTGCCACCTCAATAGCAGGGGCTAGGTCTCCTCATGCTTTCTCTCCCATGCCCCTCATGTCTCCTATCACTCCAAAACTTGAGGTTCTATACTAAGTATGTCCTTCAATGACTATCCAGTCCTTCACCACTGCCTCCTGAGGGGAAACTTATTTGAGAAGCTGGCGTCCAGTTCTTGCAATGCTGGCGTATTCCACAGACTCACTGCAGATAGGAGTCAAATCAGGGTTGTGCCCCATCTGTGTGTTGGCATAGATTGAATCCCCAAGGCTGAGCTGGGTTGCATGGACCACCGAGGCATATTGGATGACTTCAGAACCCTCGTCTTGCATTTCTATGGTGACGTCCTAGCAGCCAGAGAGAAAGAGAGAGAAATAGAGAGAGAGAGAGAGAGAGAGAGAGAGAGAGAGAGAGAGAGAGAGAGAGAGAGAGAGAGAGAGAGAGAGAGAGAGAGAGAGAGAGAGAGAGAGAGCTTTAACCAGAAAGTAGAGATTAGGGTGGGGGAAGCTGCCAGTGCCAGCTTTGGTGATCTCATGGTGTAGGTTGTGGAGAGTGGAGGAGAGGAGAGGGAAGTCAGATATTACAATGGGGAAGGGAAACATGCCTCAGAGATGTACCTGGGAATATCCTAGATTCACATATAAAATATTGGCGCTATCTATTACTTTCCCTCATTTTATAGAAGAGAATACTGAGTACAAGTGAGGAGAGATGACTTTCCTAAGGTCACACATGGAGTTAGTGATATAGCCAGAACTAGATCCAAGATGTCCCAGTCACATTCATTTATTCAACAAGCATTTATTAAATGACTACTGTGTGCTTTGCACCATGCTAGTTGCTTCCTTAGTCAGTCAGTAAAAATTTACCAAGTGGCTACCATGTGCTAGGACTGTGCTAAGTGCAGTTATTTTAATTGGATATTGGGGAATTACATGACATAGCTTATGATGCAATAGGAATCATACTAGGGAATTCAGATCAAGTCTAAACTTGAATTCTGTAGCTGCCATACACAATGGAAGTAGTTTATAAGGTTCTAGCATGCAGCACAGTGTTTACAATGAGCATTGGGACCTCTGTTTCAGTCCTAGACCTCTCAGGAACCTTTGATACCATCAGTCACCCATTTCCTGATATTCTCTTTTCTCTAGGTTGCTATGACATTATCTCATTCTTCTCCTTCCTGTCAAACCATTCCTTTTCACTCATCTTTGCTGGATCTTCATCCAGTTACATTCACTAATAGTGAGCATCCCCTAGGGCTCTATCGCAGACTCTCTTCTCTTCTCCTTTTCTACTATTTCACTTGGTGATCTCATCAGGTCTCATGGATTTGTCATCTCTGTGCTAATGATTCTGAGATCAACTTATCCAACACTTACTTCCCTCCCAGCCTCCAGACTCAAATCTCCAAATGTCTATTGGATATCTTGAACTGGATAGCCATAGATATCTCAAATTCAAAATGTCTAAAACTGAATTCATTATGTTTCTCCACAAACTCTCCCCTCTTCTAAACTTCCCCATTGCTGTATAGGGGACTAACATCTCTCCTCTCTCTGTCTCTCTTTCTCTGTCTCTCTTTCTGTCTCTCTCTCTCTCTCTCTCTCTGTGTCTCTCTCTGTCTCTCTGTCTCTCTCTCTCTCTCATCTTCTATACCCAATCTGTTACCAAGGCCCCTGTTAATTTTACCTTTATAATATCTCTCTCACATACTCTTTTGCCTCTTTTGACTCTGTCATCACCCTAATGTAGTGCCTTATCAAGTAGTTGTTGTTATTCATTTGTTTTTCAGTCCTGTCTGAGTCTTCATGACCCATTTGGGGTTTTCTTGGCAAAGACACTGGAGTGGTTTGCCATTTCCTTCTCCAGCTCATTTGACAGATGAGGAAACTGAGGCAAACAGACTTAGATGACTTGCCCAAGGTCTCATAGCTAGTAAGTATCTGAGGCCAGATTTGAACTCATGAGGATGAGTTGTCCTGATTCTAAATCCAGTGCTTTATCCACTGTGCCACCTAGCTGAACTCTTGGGCTATTACAATAACCTGCTGATTGGTCTTCTTCCTTCAAGACTTTTCCCATTCCAGTTCATCCTTCACTCATCTGTCAAAGTGATGTTACTAAAGCTCAAGTCTAATTATGCCACTCTACTCCCCAACTCCTCCAAATTCAATCAACTCCAGTGGTTCCTTATCACCTTCAGGACAAAGTATTACCATCCTTTGCCATACAAAGCCCTTCACAATCTGGTACCCTCTACATTTTTAGTCTTCTCACTCCTTATTCCCCACATCTCTGAAGTACTCTGTGATCCAGTGCAAACTTCCTTGCACAAGACAGTCTATCTCTTGATTTGGTGCATTTTTGCTGGCCATTCCCCATGCCTGGAATTCTCACCCTCCTCATCCCCACCTTCTGCCTTTCCTGTCTTCCTTCAAGTCTGAGCAAAAATCACATTTTTACAAGGTCTCTCCCAATACCCCTTCATGCTAGTGCCTTCGCTTTGTTGATTATCTCTAGGGAGACAGTCAAGAAGCACTTATTAAGCACCTACTATGTGCTAGGCATGGAGAATACAAAGGAAAACAAGAGATTGACCTTCCTTCCTCTCAAGGAACTCATAGTCTAATGGAAAAAACAAAATACAAACAACTTCATAAAAGCAATCTACAAAGAGGTTAAATTGGAAATAATCAACAGAGGCAAGGCACTAACCTTCTATAATTTATCCTGTCTATATGTAGAGTCAGAAGGAACCATGGAGGTCATTGGGTCCAACTCTGACCCCCATCCCCATTTTACATGTGAGGAAACTGTGGCCAAAGGAGTTACCTTGTGACTTACCCAAGACCACACAGCCAGACATATCTGTGGTGAGGTTCAAACCTATATCTTTCTCACTCCAAGTTTAGTAATTTACTAGTCATCATACTAAATGGCTGTGTGACTGGATAAGTCAATTGTCCTCTGTAGGTCTCTGGTTCCTTATTTCTAATATGAGAGGGTTAGGCCAGATAATCCCTAAATTCTTTTTCCCTCTCTAGACCCTATGATCCTATCGTCTGCTTGGAAGTGGTTTGTTGTTTGTTTTTTTTTTTTTTTGGTCCAGAATGATGATTTCACTGGGGAACTCCAAAGGAAGAAACTCACTTTACTAGTGCAGATCAACCACTGTTTTCTGACTTAACTGTCTTAAGAGCATTAGCTGCCTGGGGCCCCCAAGAGGCTAAGTGGTTTTTCCAAGGTCACCCACCCAGTGTGTGTCAGAGGCAGGACTTGACACTAGGTCTTTCCTACTATTTTGACAGTTCTCTATCCACTGGGTCATACTGTTTTGTGCCATGGAGAGAGCACCCTCCCACTCCAGGTCATAGGACTGTTGTCAGGGGCAAATGAGATAAAGTATGTGAAATTGCATGGGAAGGTACAGTGCTCTGTGGATACAAGTAAAGGATGATTAGAATTACTTACCCTGGCCTTTTGCTTCTGCTCCTCAAGGTCATCATAGACATGATGGCAATCATCATCACCTGTCAAACACATGCCTTTAGAGGACCTACCCTTTAGGAGAGAGCTGAGATCTACTCCACTCCCTCCCCTCCCCAAAATTGGGACCTACCCACTGAAAGAAGTGTTTGTTGTGTTTCATGATACTTTTCACCATTCCCCCAATCAAAACTTGCCTGTTTTGTGATCCACTTCTACTTAGTGCCTCAAAGAGTGTCTGTGTATGCTTGTGTGTGAAAGAGAGACAGATAGAGATAAAGACAGAGACACAGAGGCAGAGATATCAGAAAGAGACAGAAAAAGAGATAGAAACAGAGACAGAGAGAAAGGAGAGGGGGAGAGAGAGAGACATACAGACAGGCAGACAAAGACAAAGAGAGAGACAGACAGACAGAAAGAGAGAGGGGAGTGGGAAGAGGCTGACAGATAGACAGAGACAAAAACAGAGGCAGAGAAAGAGAAAATCAGAGAGAGAAAGAGAAATCAAGTTTCTTCTCTATTCAAAAGCCTTCAGTGGTTCACTGTTGCCTCTTGAATAAGGTATAAATTTCTAGCTTGGTATCAAGGCATTCTACTATCTTATTATCAAGTACCTTTTCCATACTTATTTTGTATTACTCATCATTAACTCTATCCCACCTTTCTCATCCTGACTCTTGCTGTCTCCATGCTTGTACTCATGATGCCTCTTGGACCTGGAATAAGAATTCTCATTCCTTAAGCCCATCTTCCTCTACTGAAGTCCTTCTATTGCTCCCTGGGTTAGGACAGGTGCCACTTGCCCTATGAAGTCTTTCTTGGTCCCCTCACATTGGACCTCTTATTTGGCTCAAAGTGACCTCTTCCTTTTCAAACTTCCATTTTGCTGGACCTCAGCCATGACTGTCTTTCACTTTCTCTCTTTTGATCCTATTCATAAACAAGTCTTTCCCTCCATTATCAGGAGAATTCTAATGTAAGCTCCTGGAGGGTAGGCTTTGGGTCATGTCTTTCTTTGTATTCCTAGAACCTGACATAGTGCCTTGCTAATTAGAAGTCCATAATAAATACTTGTGTCTTTAAAATGATTTGTGATGGATAGGATAGGAAAAAAAAGAGGGAAAGAGAAAAATTGCTTTTGTAGGAAACCTTTTTTACTTGAGATTTCTAGCAATTCATTTATTAAATTTACATGCAGTGATTGATTACCTTTTGTGTGCAAAGCACTCTGCTAGGCTCTGAGAATGAAAGGAAGGGGGAAAGGGGAAAGGTATAAACACTGAGTAGTACCTACTATGTGCCAGGCTTTGTGCTAAGGACTTTACAAATATTACCTCATTTTATCCTTACAACAAACCTGTGAGAAAGGTGCCTGAATGAAAGAAAGATGAAAAAGAAGACAAGACAGTATCTGGTCCTGGGAAGCTCCCAGTGTGTCAGGGGGCAGATAAGAAAAGTAGACACTAACTATGAAAAAAATTAGAATGAGATAATTGTCATAGAGGAGAAAAAGAAAAGAGGATCAGCAGAGTAGTGTGCACAGGCTATGTGGAGCCCAGGGGCCATCTTTCCTCAGCCCTTGAGTCAGCAATGCTAGAGGGACATGAGAGAGCAATAAAGGAGAGTGGGTAGGAGGGAGCTGAAGTTTCCTTGGGAAGAGGCCAAGCAACCATATGTGTCTTACCTGTCCCTGGTTTTTGGGAGACTTTCACGGTATACATGATGCCCGCACTGAGGAGCCCAACTAGGAGCAAAGACACCAGCACTGAGCCCCATATGATGAATTTCTGGTTGTCTCTTGGGCTAAAGGGAAGGAAGACCAGTCAGGTGAGACAACATCAAATAACAAGATCATGCTGGGGAAGGCAGTTTGCCCTGTGCCTGAGCTAAGAGAAGAGCTGACGTTTGTCTTTAGGGCTTCTTCCCACCCTTCTCCACAGGTGCCCACAGGAAACCTCAAGTTCCTTCTAGCTGCTTGGCACCCTGATTCAGCACCTGGCTTCTGCTAAATCCAAGCAGCTGATGAAAGTTTATTAAAAGTTCTAAAATTTACTAAACATGCAATACTTAAAATTTAAACAGGTAACTTATCAGATTTTAAAAATAAGTTTGTAACATTTATACTTCTGAATGCATTGAAGTTTAAAATTTCACTAGGACTTTTGAGATGCTTTGTATATTTAGCTCTATAGAAGATGGATTCGAAAAGAGAGAGACTGGAATCAGGGAGAACAATTAGGAAGCTTTTGCAACAGTCCAACAAGAGTTGCCAAGGGGCTGAACTTCAAACTCATCTGCAGGAAACCTTTTCTGGTCTTCTTACACACACACACACACACACACACACACACACACACACAAACACACATACACACACACACAGACACACACTGTTAATACCTTCACTCTGGGACTACTTTCTATTTATATTTTATGTTAATATATTTTATATATTTTTTGCATGTTGTCTCTCCCCATTAGAATATGAGCCTCTTGCAGGCAGGGACCAGTGTTTTTGCTTTTTTTTGTGTGTGTACACCCAGGGTTTAGCACACTGCCCTACCCATAGGCGTGCTTCATACATGCTTATTGAATCATTAGCTAAATCAGAGTGGTGGCTATTTAGGTGGAAAAGGGAAGATGGGTGAAAGAAAGACTGTGCAGGTAGAATGAATAAATTGGGAATCTGACTACATCAGGAGGGTGAAGGAGAGTGAAGAATCATGGGAGACTCTGAGGCTGCCAATCTGGGTGAGTAGAAGGAGTGGAGACCCTTAATAGAAGTGGGAAAGTTGGGAGGAGGGGTTGATTTGGGAACAAAATGGTAGGAGTGGGTGGGGGAAATAGTGAGTTCAATTTTAGGCTTGTTGAGTTGGAATTGCCTACATGAAATTCAGTTTTAAATATACAATAGCTATTTGGTGATGTGTGACTGGGGCTCAGGAGAGACTAGGGAAGAATATATATATATATATAAATATATATACACACACACATGTGTGTATACATATATATGTAGATGTGCATGTGTGTATGTATAAATGTGTATATACACATATGTGTATATATATATATATATATGTCATCTGAATAGACAAGATAATTCAATCACTAGGATTAATTATCTGATGCATCTTCTAGATAAAGGGATCTCAATACTTTTTGTATCCTGGAGTCCTTAGTGACTCTGGTAAAGCCCATGGACCCCTTCTCAAGAGTGTTTTTAAATGCATAAAATAAAATACTTAGGACTACAAAGAAAACCATGTATATAGCAATATAGCTAATAAAAAAATTTTATAACAAGTTCACGGACCCCAAGTCTAGAAACTTTGACCTAGAGACTGTATATAGAGAGGAAAAGCAGGGTCAGGCTAGATCAAGAACATCCACACAGAAGGGAAAGACATGAATGAGAACCCAGCAGAAGAATCTGAGAAGGAGCTGAGAGGAGCTGAGAGAGCTGAGAAAGAAGTTTCATGAAAAGCCAAGAAAGAGTTTCCGAGAGAAAGGGAGGTGGGGCTGGGGCAGGGGTCATCAGCAGAGTCAGATACTACAGAGATATCCAGAAGGATGAGTATTAAGAAAAGAACAACTAAGGCTGTCCTTGGTAACCTTGGAGAGAACAGTTTCAGTTGAGTGATGAAGTCAGAAGTAAGGGGTTGAGAAATAAGGGAAAGGGGAAGTGGCAGCAACAAGAATATTTTTTCTGGGCAGGCATGTTCTAAGCAGTCTTTTTGGAAGGTAAATTTTCCTTGTTTCACAATTTTGCCTGGTTCTTTAATCTCTAAGAGGAGAGAAAGGGAAAGGCAATCAGTCATGAGGGAATGCTGCTCAGCTTAACAAGAAGAGACAGTTATTTAACAGAGAGGAATTTGAGGATTTGTCTGCTGTATCTGGAGATGAGGAAGTCTGATAAACAATACCCACTGTGAAAAATGCAGTGGTGCAGGAGGGGCAGGGCTTAGCAAAGGACCCAAGGCAGTGTGGGTTCAGGACTGAAAAATACCAGGCCAAGGCCAAAAGAAATCAGATTTCAAGCCATTTTAAACTTGGAAATAAGGGAAAGGGAGGAAGCTAGTAAGTACAATTTCACTAGGCCTAAGGGAAACCTTAGCTCCTTCTATTTACCCTTTTGTTCTTCCATCTAGAAGGGAAGGCTGGAAAGAAATCACTTTAGACTAATAGTTTGGGGCAGCACAAGTGGCTTAAATGTGGCTTAAAACAAGCCACATTAACTGCTGAGGCCGAGAGCTCCTGAGACACAATGGATTTCCAAAAAGGAGTTGTACCTGCTGGTGGCCAAGAAGATGGCAGAGGTGGTGACAGATGTCTCAGTGGTAGTTTGAGAATGTTTGGTGGTGAAAGATGTCTCAGTGGTAGGCTGAGAACCTTTGGTGGTCTTCGATTTTGTGGCTGAAAGAAGAACAGAGGAAGAAAACACTTGGCCTTGACCCCACATCCTCACATGCCTCCTCTTCCCTGGAGAAGCCAGAACACTAGGCTGCTGGCCCCAAAAATTCATTGGGCCTTGAAAAAGCTTTAGGCATCATATGAAGGCATGCTGTGGGCTAATATAATATAGTATATCATATCCCATTCATTATGTGTTGTTATGTATTCTAGCCTATTGTTTCTACTGCTAATGTCACCATCAGACTCCTTTGCCACCCCCAGGCACTCTGATGGCCTGACCAAGCATATCCCTACAGGATGCTATCCCCTAGGAGGTGGCTGTGGTTGGTATCCAGAACGAAGACAATGCTAAAAATTCTCAGATGCAGAGCATTTGTAATTCACACAGAATTTCCCACACTCACTGTTACAAACACATCTCTCCCCTCCAACCTCATTTTATAAATGAGGAACTAGGCCTGAGAGAGGTGGAATGACCTCTCAGGGTCACAGCATTAATCATTTTCGCAACCAAAACTTGATCTTATGTCCATGCTCTTGCATTAGAAAATGCCAGGAGCCGCTCCAACAATACCTCTGGTGGAACCACCCCTGTCTCCCTTCTCTCCTGGGGCCAGAGCTTCAAGCATCCTAAATCAGTGAAGCACAATTCTATGTCTGTGTATATGTTGGGAGGACCCTGTGTGAGTCTATGCCTGTGTAAGTCACAGTCGCTTTTGTATGAATGAGTGTGAGTGTGTGACACAGGACACCCAAGACTTAGAAGCCCCAGGACAAATGCTGGCCCTGCATGGGAATGAGATCAGAGAAGAAAATGCCTCACCTTCCCCAGGGACCAGAAGAGGAGCTACTGTCAGAACCATGGAAAGAAGTTATGAGAGGATGGGAATAGGGAGGGGCAGGAAGCTGAAGGAATGAAGGAGGGGGAGCAGCTTCTCCCTGGAGACCCCAAAGAGACCCAAACTCACATCCTAGCTCAGGGTCATGTTCACATCAGGTATTTCCTAAGCTCTGCTGGAACTGAAGGGGATTGAGTTGGCAGGGACTTACCTGGAGAAACCTCCAGCCTGATTGTCCTGAGAATATCAATAGTGTTCCTGACAGAGTCATGGATTCCACACCAATAGATGCCTGAGTCCTTCACCCTGAGGTTAGACATGGTGATGGTGATTCTACCAGTGTAGGTGTCATCTGCCAGGGAGGCTCGTGAGTCCCGACGTTGCTCAGGGAAGCCTGACTTTCTGATAATTACTGTTGTACACCACTGTTCATCTTCTCTCACTTTACACCAGATTTTCCACCTCTTCTCAGCTCTCTGGGGATTGTAGCTGCAGTTCACTCTGAGTGTCTGCCCCTCCTGGTACTTCACTGGGAACACTTGTCCCTGTGAACCTGAAAAGCAGATCATCAGGTCAGGGGGAGCCCAGCTGGGCCTCCCTTCAGTCCCCTCCCTTCCTTGCCTTAAGAAAAGGGATAAGGTAAGGGGGCTGGTCTCCTTAAATAATATATTCTTCTTAGAAATCAAGCCTTAAAGAGCCAACCTCTCAACCAAGGGAGTCTCCTAATCAGTGGTGTGCTAGTAAACAATTAACAACCAGTTCTCTCAATTCTTTCTCTTTCCCTCCCTGTCGTTCTTCTTCTTCCATCCCCTTCTCTGTCTTTCCTTCGTTCTTCTGTCTCCTCTCTCACTTTATGTGTGTGTGTATATATATATATATATATATATGTGTGAACTCAAGACACATTTTAAAATTTAAGCTACATTATGAACATTGTTCCATCCCTTTTTTTAAGACTAGCCAATTAACTGAACAACAAATCACTTCTTCATTTCTATGCAGTGTTTGCTAATTTTCAAACTGTAAATGCTCCCTCTGGAAATTGAACAATCAGCTTTTCCAAGGCAGTGTGAGCTGGCTCCACCACATGACTGCTCCCGTCCCTTCCCAGTCCTTCATTGCAACACAACATTGTACTCCCTCCCTTCTGCCACTCTCCTCTCTCTTCTCTGCTCCCTGTCAGTCATCACCTCTACCCTTCCCTAACCTCCCCTACCCCCAGATACCCATTAACAGCAAAGGCAGCAGCAGTAGCAGTTGGGCTGCCTGGGCCATCATGCCTCTGTGGGTCCAGAGTCAGGAGACATGGGAGGTGGTCTCTTCATGCTGTCCTTGGGCTGATGGATGGCAGGAGGGTGTTGGTCCTGATTCTCCACTGCCTGATTCTGAGCCTCTGAGAGGAAAGAAGAAGTAACAGAGAGTGGACAAAACTAAGGTTGGGAAAGTGGCAGGAGTGGAAAGAGGAAACATGCTGACCTCATACGAAAGAGGTAAGAGCACTTACATCTGGCGAATTCCTCTGGTCAGGGCTCTGACCCCCAGGATAACCTAGGGACCCTCCAGAAGAAGTGCCTTGGCCCTTAGAACCTCTATTGCAGCTTGTCTTACACCATAGGCTTTCTGATCTCACACACATCTATCCCATGTCTAGGTATCCAATGAGCCTGGGCAAAAGGGAGGGTGAAGGTAAGGACAACTGGGCCTAGTACTTCATCAACATCCAGGCAAATGGAAATGGAGCTGTCTGGTCTGAGAGGACAACTTCAGGTGGATGGCAGCTGCTGGGGAAATGGGGTCTATTTAAGGAGAATATCTGGGAGAGAAGGCTGCCATCTCCTCCCTTGTCCTCTTCCTGTGGCCAAAAGGAATCAGTGGTACACAGAGACATTCTTCCTCTTCTTCCTGGTCATACTAAGTCCTTCCCCCCCAGCATTCTCTGTCCTTTCTCCATCCCCAAGGAAGTCATTTATCTAAAAAGAATTGGAAGAATGGGGATGGACAACTGATAGACACAGAGTCCTATAGTCTAATCAGAAATTATTGTACATTATTCCCCTGGGAAAGAGAGGGATAGATCTAGGATTGCCTTCCATGTAAGCTGTGTCCTGGGATCATAGAGGATAAATCCACAGCCAAGAGAAGCCTCAAGAACAATTTAATCCAGCAGTTCTCAATAGTCCAAAGACTTTTTGAAGAGGGGAGGGAGGGATTAAGCATTATATGGTGCCTAATATGTGTCAGGCCCTATCCTAGGTGCTTTTTGTAAATATTATCTCATTGATCCTCACAATTACTCAGGGAAGTAGGTACTCTTGTGACCCCTCATTTTATAGTTGAAAAAACTGAGGCAAAAAGAGGATAAGTGACTTATCCAGGGTCACACAACTAATAAGTATCCGAGACTGGATTTGAACCCAGCTCTGACTCCATCCCCAGAGCTCTATTCACTGTACCACCAGTTACCTCTCAGTCCCAAACCCTCTTTTAGAGGTTCTTCATCTGTCACAACTATTTACATAATTGTACTGAGCCTCTCTGTGCCTCTTTAAAAATACTTTCCCTTTCCAACTCTCTATCAGTTTGAGTCCAGATTTTTTTATGTACTTCAGTTAAAACATCAGATTGCAACAGATTGAATGGAGAGCAGATATGAGAATCTAGCTTTGTCCTATTAAGCCAGAGAGTGAAGAGATTTCCACAGTAACGTAAAACAATGACAGTTCTCAATGATATTTTTGAAAAATAGCTGTTTTTAACTTTAAATATTTTATAAACATGTCAGAGGTTTATTATTATTATTTTAATTGCATTAATTAATGAATATTTGATTAAAATTTATCACTTTTAATTTATGATATGGCAAATGTCAATAGATAGATCCCATATACAAAAACATATTGGTATTCTCAGTAATTTTTAAGAATGTATTTGATTCCTGAAACCAAAAATTTCAAGAACTGCTGGTATAAGAGTTCAGTTTGGAGGGTGTTCTGAGTATGAACTCATTTGGTAACTTGTATATTTTTAAAGCTTTTCATGCATAAATTCCTGAGAAGGTGGTGAGAGCTACCCATCTTCATGTGCAGTCTCCTGACCTTTGGAATCTGACTAGCTCACAGTTGTATCCAGGTTTGAGACTGAGTTTAGAGAGCAGTGAGAACATCCATTAATCTTAAAGATGATAATAACCTAAGGTGAGGCAAAGTAGCATGATCTCCCTGCATGTCAAGTCCCATGTGGGAGAAAAAGGAAATCTTAGCCCTGGCCAAGTTCATCTTCATGAGACAAGAGATACCAGTGCCCACGTAGCAGCCAACACCATGAGGGTCCACAAATGCCTCTGCTAGCCTAACTTCACAATGTTATCTTTGGGTTAATACACCCTCATATCCTGTGGACTAATTTAATGTAACATGAACTAACTGATTGTGTCAAGGGTGACTTATTCAGTATCTCAGAACTACCCACTAACAGAAATGGGAGAAATCTATGGTGAGTTTGCCTTCTGGGAAGAGTGAGGAAGGAGTCTATTGGCTTTCTTTTCAAAGTTTTGAACTAAACTAGCATAAATGCTTATAAATGGAGTTAATAACGACCCTTGGTGGAATTCCTGATACTATTTCCAGGGTCTACCATTCATTAGTGGGGTAAGGGGGGAGTGTAGTTAGCCACAGTAGGGAAAGTCATACAAAGGCTATCCTGACCTCCCTCCTGCTAGCAGGCCAAGGAGACATATGACTGATTCAATCTACAGAAAATATGTGAGATTTTTGTATTTTTATTTTTTCTACTGAGTTCTTTATTGAGATGGATCTCTTACAACAATTGCTTGACTCCACATCCTACAAATGTAAAATGGCTGACCTAGTTTACCTCCCTCATTTGAAAGATGAGGAAATAGAAATTCAAAGGAGTCAAGTAATATTTCCAAACCAATTAGAAGCAGATCTGGGGATAGACTCAATGTCTCCCACTTCCCAGGAAAATGCTCTTTCTAACACACCATACATTCTGGATTCAAAGACAATGCAACAGAAGGCTTCTCCTGGCATACTCCTCATAGCAGGGTTATGGTCTTTAAGAAAAGACAGGGGTAACTTTTTTGTCCCTTACAAATAAGGCCTTTGATGATTAGTGGATGGGGTGCAGTTGCTTTAATAGAATAGAGCAGCTGTCATTGTTTCTACTCCAGAATAAGGGGCAGAGCCAGGCCTGGGTAGATCCTGTGGAATGGGAGAAGAGACTCCTTGTGAAGCAATGGATGAGGAATGATGTCAGACTGTAAGACAGTCAGGAAGCATTTATCAGAAAAGGCCATGATCTCCCACTGCATCCAAGGTCATCTCAAGTCATCCTGATCCATATCTTGCCTCTGGACCCAGAGGTGTCTGGAGGAGATAGTGAAGCCGGTGGCTTTGCACAACCCCCCCTCACTTAAATCCAATTCACTTGCAAGTCATGGCATCACCTCCCTGATGTCATGGTCCTCTTCCAGAAGGAAGGACAAACAACAACAATCAAGTGCTTGCTATGGCAAGTGGTTATTTAATTTCAGCTTCATTCAATAAATATTTATTAAGTACCTACTATTGACCAGGCAACACGCTGAGTGTGAGAGCTACAAATAAGAAAAAGAGACAGTTCCTGCCCACAAGTAGCTTGTCGTTTGTTGTTCTTCCTTCATTCTCAAAGACGACCAAAGACATCACAAGCATACTGTCTTGGTTTGTGAGTGGATTGTATTTAAGTGATGCAGAGCAACTCAAATCATGAGCCTCACTCTCTCCTCCAGAGTCATAGGAGTTCAGTGGCAAGACATAAGCCAAGATGATGGCTATGGTCCAGGATGCAGTTGGAGATCTTGGCCTTTTTAAGCTGGGATCTTTCCCAGGTCTCAGTTTGTCTGAGGCAAAGCTCATTCTCCAGGAGCTTACAGTCCAAGGCAGGGGAAGTCAACACACACAAAAGAAAGCAGAAAGGGGTTACTAGGAAGGCTGGGAGCTCTCTATAAAGGAAGGCATTGAGAGGAGTTTAGTGCACAGCCCTCCAGCCCACCAATTAGAGAGAAGAGGCAATTGAGAGTAAGTTGGGAAGGTGGAGACTATCAAAACCTGAATCTTTCTTCTGGTGAGGAGATCTCAAGTGACCATCTTCTCCTGGGAAGAGGACATGATATTCTCTGGAGTCAAAGTCAAACAGAGCTGCAGATGGAAAAGGAAGTTGTTAAGTTACTATTAAGGCACTATGTAAGGTACTTAGGTTACAGAGAAAGATGAAATACTGTCCCTGCTCTCAAGGAGGTCATAGTCCAAAGGGTGAGACCTCATGCAAACAAACCATGCTACACAGGAGAAATTAAAATATCAACAAAGGGAAGAAACTAGAATTAAGAGAGGATGGAAAAGGCTTCGAGTAGAAAGTGGTATGTTAGGTGGAAGCTGAAGGGGAGCCAGGAGGCTGAGATGAAGAGAGATAGTGTTCAAGGCATGGAGGAGAGCCAGTGAAAATATACCATCAGGAGGTTGAATGCTTTGTGTGAGGAACATGCCATTGTCACTGGAGCCCAGAGGACATGGTGGGGATTGGGAGGGTGTAATGAGTAAGAAGAATGGAAATGTGTAGTGAGAAAGGTTGGTTATGAAGACTTTTGAATGCCAAATAAAGGACTGTGTATTCAATCTTAGAGTTGAAAGGGAACCCCTGAAATTTGTTGACTGAGGGATGACTGGGTCAGATATGTGTTTTAAGAAATTCAGATTGAACTTCTGGGAGCCAAGATAGCAGAGTAAGCAGTAAATTGCTGTCACTCTCCCATATTGACCTCTGAACAACAAGAAAATACTGCTCCAGCAAAAATCCTAGAACAGCAGAGCCAGAGGAATGATGAGGTAGAGTAGTCTCTTTGCCTGGGAAACTTAGGCAGATCAGCAAGAAAGGTCTGTCTCGCTCTGCTAAAAGGGGAGTGCATTCCAGGACAGGAAGCATCTTATCAAGCCTGAAGCAAGCCACACCTCAGCAAACTAGTGGGAAATCCTGAATCCCAGGGAGGTAGAGCAGACAAATGCCAACACCAGGACTCCCCACATGCCTTAGCATAGCCAGGGGAACCAACACACTCTGGCTCAGAGAACCACCACGTGCTTCAGAGCAGCCCTTGGCAGGCAGGCATTCAATGGCCAGACCTCCACATGATTCAGTGTAGTCCTGGGGAAATGCAGAAAAATCCCACTTGGCCTTAGCAAACACCAGACACTACCACTAGGACCCTAGCTCAGCACCAGGTAAGCTGCCAGACCCCAGCACACAAAGCCAGTGACCAGGCCCCTGGTGCCCAGTACAAGAAGCTTGAGACACTGCCGCCTGAGCTCTAGCAAGAGAGCTCAACTCCAAAAGCCAAGAAATAGACAAACAAGATGAGCAAAAAGCAAAAATGAACATCAAACATAGAAAACTACTATGACAGGTGTCACCCTGTGGTGACAGGGATGATTAAAATGCAAATTCAGAAGAGGAAAACAGTA